GAAAACAGCTCCAAATTTAGTAAAAAATTATCTGAGAATTTGGCAAAGAACAGCTCCAAATTTGGTAAAAAAAATAATCAAATAGCTTTTAATTCAGCAAAGAAATTACAAAAGAATTCTAACCTAACAAAGAAAATTACCAAAGAATAACTTCAAGTCTAGAGAAGAAAATTATCACAGAACAACTCCAAAATTGGTGAAGAAAAAATACAAGAAAATAACTCCAAGCCTAGCAAAGAAAGTTACAATAAAATAATCTAAACCTGGCAAATAAACTAATAGAAATGAAACTGAATTAGAATAAGTTTTTAGTAGAAAACTATCAAGAACAACTTCAAACCTAATAAAGAAAATTATCAAAGAACAGCTTCAAAACTTCTAAAAACCTATCAGAGAATAGTTCCAAACTTGATAAAAAAAAATCACTTCAAATCTGGCAAAAAAAGTTACTAGAAAATAGCTCTAAATCCAGTAAAGAAACTATTATAGAACAGTTTCAAACCCATGAAGAAACTAATAGAATGAAACTGAATTAGAGTAGATTTTGTAATAGAAAACTAAAGAAACTAATAAAAACAAAATAGGTTTTCTTATAGAAAACTATTAAAGAACAGCTTCAAATATGATGAAGAGAAAGCTTCAAAATTATTAAGAAATCTATCTGAAACAGCTCTAAACCTGAATAAGAAAATCACCAGAGAGCATCTTCAACCTGGTGAAAATTACTAGAAAACAGCTCCAAAACTAGCAAAAAAAATTATTATAGAACAACTTCAAACTCAGCAAAAAAAACCAATATAAATAAAATTAAATTAAAGTAGGTTTCTTAGTATAAAACTTTTAAGAACAACTCCAAACCCAGCAAAGAAAATTATTAGAGAACAGTTCTAAAATTTTTAAGAATCTACTAGAAAATAGCTACAAACCTGAAGAAAGTTAATTCAAATCTGATGAAAAAAAGTTACTAGAAAACAGCTTCAAATCTGGTAAAAAAAACTACCTTAGAACTGCTCTAAACTTAACAAAAAAACTAATAGAATAAAATTGGATTAAAGTAGGTTTCATAATACAAAACTATTAGAAAATAGCATCAAAATTCTAAAAAACTTACTAGAGAACAGCTCCAAACCTAGTGAAAAAAATTACCAGATAAAATCTTCAATTTAGCGAAGAAATTTACTAATTTAATATCTTCAAATCTGATAAAAATACAAGAAAACAGCTTCAAACTTGACAAAGAAACTACGTAATAGAAATGAAATGAATAAGAGTAGATTTCTTAATAGTAACTATCAAAAAATAGCTCCAATTCTAGCAAAGAAAATTATCCAAGAACAAAAAATTTCTAAGAAACCTACTAGAGAACAGTTCCAAACCCAATGAAGAAAATTATTAGAAAATATTACCTGGCGAAGAGAATTAACAAACAGCTTTAAATTTGATGAAAATACCAGAAAACAGCCACAAAACTCAATAAAGTAAATTATCTAACAGCTTCAAATCCAGAAAAATACCAGAAAACAGCTTCAAAACTGACAAAGAGAATTATTATATAACAGCTCTAAATCTGGTGAAGAAACTAATAGAAATAAAGCTAAATAGGAAGTAAAAAATTACTAGAAAATAGCTTCAAAATACCAAAAGAACTACCAGAGAACAGCCCAAAAAATTCCTAAAAAGCTTATCAGAGAACAGCTCCAAAATGTTCAATATAAACTACTGAAAAACTCTAAAATATTGTTAGAGAACTACTATAAATTTTGAAGAGAGCTCTTTGATTTTTTGAAGCCTCTTTCTCATAGAACTATATAAAACTACTAGAAAACAGCTCCACAAAATATCAAAGAGATTTCTAAAGATCAACTCCAAGAGTGTCTAAAAGAATTAAAAAACAAAAAAAGAAAAAACTTTGTTAAATAATGAAAAAAACAATTAGTAATAGTATTATAAAAAAAGCAAATAATGGTGATTATCAAAAAAATATATTTATTTATTTGGTAGTATAACAAAGGAAAAGAATATTCGATTTGGCATTGGCAATCAGATTAACACATGAAACTTAGTCATGTGATTTTTTAATCTTTAATTAGCTAAATAGGCCAGAGATATATAAGTTATATATTTTTAGCTAAAGATGTCTAGAATTTTCTATTTTTTATATATAAAATTTAAAAAAAAGCCAGCTACCCAGATTTGTTTAAACAGTTCCATATTATGAAAATCAGAAAAATTTTTTTGTATAACTTTACTTATAAATTTTTTTTTAATCTTCAAAGGTGAAACTATAACTTTATCTTTATTAAAATTTAATTAAACTTCTTTACAGATTAGAATAAAAAATTATATTATTTAAACTTTATATCTATTAAGATACTAAAACTAAAGGCTTGAACAGAGCTCTTGATAAATAAAAATATAGGAGTTATCTGCAATCTAAATCTATCAGGCTGACTATAACTTATCTAGATTTCTGAAATAATTATAATAAGTTGTATAAGTTATATTGATATTTAATTCACTTTAAATATTATAGTTCAAATTTAGTTCTTGCAATAATGAAAGATGCTAATTAAATTGATAAAATATGTAATACCAAAATTATAGATGGAGTATAAATTGGTAAATTAACTTTTGCTTAGAAAGTATAATATGATATTTAACAGTTTTTATAAATTTGTTAATTTAGATATAATAAAAATTTAATACTAAGTTGAATTAAAATTTTATTAAATAAGGTATACAGTAATAAGATCTTTAATTATATTAATAAAATCTTGTAGAATCAAACCAGTTATTGTTGAAAAAAATAGTAATAGTATATTAGAGTTATTATATATTTATATATTATTAAGATTTTTGATCTGAAAATATAGATTTGTTATAGACAGTTAATATTATTAAAAGTAGATAGTTTAAGAGTATTATTACTCAAAGGTTTATTAATAATTTTAAAAAATTTTTATAATAAAGTTTATAAAATATGTTTCAAGAATATATTCTATAATAAATATATACTCTATATTATTAATAAATTATTGTTTTATTTAAAACACTTTTACTAAAATACATCTATAATGTTTTATCATCTATAATATTATTTCAAAAACTGGCTAATTAATTGATATAAGGTGTTTTAAGTAAAAATATTCTACATCTCAAAAAACTTTTTTCAAACCCTAATTCTAACCTTAATATTAACTTTAATATGAAAAATTAATGTTAAAAATTTTATATACAAAATTTATAAAAACTTAGAAAATTTAAAAAATTTAATAAAAATATATAATAGGTGCAAAACCACTATAGATCCGTTTTATAATAATTGTATTTAAAAAATACTAAATATAATTTAATTTTTCAGGCAAATTGGTCTGAAATACAGTTTAAGAGATAAAATAAATAGCTAATCAAAACAAAATTCTATTAAACTTATATATAGTATATTTATATATCATATATCATATTATATGTACCATCTACCCTATTATCTACCAAGTCTCTTAACTTACTCTTTCACTATTTTTTTTTTAACTTAAAGCATAACCTACCACAATATACTCCAATACGCTTTATTTAATAAAACACACTCAAACCATTACTTCTCTTACACAATTACCTTACATTCTCCTTCACAAACCTAATATACTACTCATAATTTAGCATTTATCAACTTACTATATACCGTAAACATCTATCTTTAAATATAATTTAATAAAACCATTTACTATTACTTAATTGTCCTACAAACACCTTTTCTAACTTATTATTCACTCTACAAAATAATCATAACTTTATTTCTCATAACTTACTTAACTATATATTAATTAAATTAAATAATACGTATATACAATAGCAAATATATATAATAACTATTCCTTTATATACAGTACATAGTAAGTACATAGTCTAACCTAAACAACACCTTAAATTAAACTAAAAAAAACCGTAATGATAAAATCCTTTATATATCGTTTTTACATTAATTTACCTTCTTATATCCATCTTCCTATACGATAACTAACTGAAACTGCATCCTGTGCAACTCGAACCTTATATTATTAAAAAATTGGTGTGTTGCACAGAATCGGACATTGCATATTCGTGTAACGTTCATGCATACCATAAGGTCGGCTGTTAATTTATTATTTCGGCATAATAGATTCATAATTCCTGGGACACCTGTAAAAATTAGCCGAATGAATTACGGCCGATCCGGTTAATTTATTATTTCGGCAAATAGATTCATAATTCCTGGAACACTTGTAAAAAAAAAATTAACCGCATGATTTCCGGCCGATCCGGTTAATTTATTATTTCGGCCAGGAATTATGAAAACAGCTGTAATACATTTTTAATATGTGGCCCGACGATTTCTATGTAAGTGCCGTCGAGGAAAGATGGCTTTTGATTTTCAAGTTTGCTATCGATTATTTACTGGATCCAGTCCAGATTTGTGATATATATGATGTGATTATATTTAGATTTTTAAAAGGCTGGATCCAGCAAAAATAAATCAAGCCTAATTTTCCTTTGTTAGCTCTTATATATAAGATAATGGCCCTTGCATATTTATGTAACAGATAACATATTTGTGTATGATGTTTATCTCTTACCATATAACCCGTCGTTAACGGCGGGCTCTAATACTAGTCTCTATATATTAAAATAATTGGATTATGCAATGTCTACGGCCATGGCATATTCGTATGACGTTATCTCTATATATCAAATAAATTGGGATTATGCAATGTCACGCCTATTGCATATTCGTGTAACATATTTGGAGCCGCCAAAAGTAAACCTACCCTCGGATTTTAAATTTATTATTTGCCGAATACAATTTCTAAGTGACCTCTTTGCGACACATATTATAGCCCCATCGTGAAAATATATATATTGTCGTAAATGAAATTATTGAATTCATTATTTATATAAGATCCATATTTTCGAGTCAATCCAAGATACCCACATATTACAACCATTTTTAATATCAATAAAGATCAACTCAGTTGAAGAGCATTTGCGTACGAAAGTCGCGAAGGTCTTTGTTCGACTCGTGCATCATCAAAAGATGTTGTAACATCACGAACCAATAGCTAAATTTATAAATACATAAGATTAGTGAAAGTTTAATATCATAATATAAATTTACATTAATACATACGGCCCATTTTAATACACATTCATAGAAATAAACGAAAATTTTCATTTCAGAAAATTTTCGAGGAAGATTCGCATTATCAACCTCGTTTAATCTATACGTTCCTGAATTAATATTTAGTAACAAATCATCAGTACATTTCTTACAGTGTAATTTTTCAATTGAAAGAAAACACATACCACAATAATCAAGAAAATATAAATATATCCGAAGACGAAAACTCTGGCCACCGAATACATACAGCTTCTTTGGTAAACGTTGCCTGCTTTCGATTGTTTCCTTTACAATTTTCGTGAATATATTCTTTAAGTTATCCGTTATTTTTTTGACATCATCAATTTCCTTTTTATCTTTTGTTACTGGTCTCGAGCCTTCAACATAAATAAGCTGATATTTATCAGCATCTGTCATGTACCCAGCTCCATCAGCACGATTACCATTAGCGTGATTTTTTGATGGGATCTCGCCATATTCATAATGTATACCTGCAATGTACCACAAAGAAGCGTCAAGACATGGGTGAACAAAAGCATTAAGATGCGCATGTTCTATTGTGGCAATATTTAAAAGTGGATTCTGTTCTTCAAGCGAAAATGCTTTAATACTATACAGAAGAAATAAATATTTAGAACAGAATCTGAAAAAATAAATCAATATGATGATAATGCCTACATACAATTGTGGCAATGTACGACGTAAAACTCGTACCACTGCATTCATTATAAAATCATCTTTTCTTGGTGCTTTTAAATCATCGATTTGATAATTCCACTCCTCGGTTGTTAAGTTTTGCGAAAAAAAATTTACAAGAAATTCATGAACATTTGTGGGAACCAATGATTCTGTTATGTTATCCATTTCCGTTAGATACGATGTTGCTACTTGTCTTGAAAGTTTGTTTAAAAAGGGCGATTTCAGTCGGAGGTCAATTAGATTGCCATTAGAGTATTGCGCCTTATAAATCGAAAAAATTTCTTTTGCTGTGTCTGAATGTTCAGTATTTCCTAAGATGTCAGTTAACTGGTAGAAAACAATCAAAGTGTTAAACATCTGTTGGTTAAAGTGTATTATTAAATAATTACTTACAATATCATCCTGAATGGTTCTTTTCTCATCATTTCCTTGAGAGGAATTTTCAAAAAAATACTCGGTCGTTGCTTCCTCTTCGTTTTCTTGAGAGAGGGTTTCATCTGTGTATGTAGTTTCTTCAGGGAAGTTCCGACATCCGCACCTGCAAATAATCCACGATAATCCGGTACAACTACTCTCCCACTTTTCGTTCTTTTTTCAGATTTAGTTTTGCACTTGTTTACGAGGCGGAAAGGTAAAAACGTCAATTTGTTATTTTGTCATAAATGATTGTTGATGTTCAGCTATCCATTGTCAAGGAATCAATAAGTTAATAGAGACACTTAATCTCACCTTTTTTTCCGGAATTGTAGCTCCTTCAGTACTCAACTTTTTTTCATCATCCACATCTCGACGATGTTTCCCCTGACGATTGTCGTTGTATGTTGCTCCATCTCCTGTTGAAAATTGGTTTATCTGTTTTACCTTCATAAGATCGACTTTGATTCGTGCACAATCTTTTTTAAAGTCTTTTACTGGTGCAGTCCAGTTCTTGACAAAACAAAGAATAATTAATGCAATTTTGAAATATTTAACAATAACAATATAGAGTAAAAGAAGCATTGGACTAAGGGCCCTGTCCTTGTAAGACTTGAAGTCCCAGCTTGCACTAAGCGTCGAACTTGAAGTTCATTACTGGAGACTTAAAGTCCCAGCTTGCGCTAAGTGTCGAACCTAAAGTTCATCACTATTCAGACGAAAAGCTCCTTCTACTCTATCAGCACGCATACTTTAAGACTTGGAGTCCCAGTTTGCACTAAGCGTCGAACTTGAAGTTCATTACTGGAGACTTAAAGTCCCAGCTTGCGCTAAGTGTCGAACCTAAAGTTCATCACTGTTCAGACGGAAAAGCTCCTTCTACTCTATCAGCACGCGTACTTTCCAGTTATCCAGTATTTCCTGAGCTTTTTTCTTTCTTGTCGCGTCAAATCTAGAATCAGAATTTGCAATATCTCGAAGATCTTTATGTATAAAACCCAGTACTTTTTTCAAACCCTTTTGTTGTACTTCTGTACGGTAAAAGCCTATTAAGTTGAAGCACGTCCAATCTTCAATTATATTGTCGAGATAAAAAGTGCGGTGTATGAACATGTTTTACATGTTTTGCAAAATAAGGTGTTTGGCACCAAAAAAATTGGCATGCCTTACCAAATATGGGGACTACGCCAGGGCGTAGGATCGATTTTACTATCATATGATTTTCCGACGTCTATCAACCAATCAAAGATCAGGATCAGGTGTAACGTGAAAAAATTCAAAACAAACGTTCGCTTTGCAAAAATCGCACATATCTCAAAATTTAGTC